ACTTACTAAACTTCCTCAGGCTATTTATTTCTGCGCTTAACCTGCCTGTTATTATCTTTTTTGTAATATCCAACCTAAACCTCCCTTGCTGCAGTTTAAACCCATTGCTTCTGGTTCTATCCTTAGAGGCTAAGGTGAACAAGTTTTCTCCCTCCTCCTTATGATACCCTTTTAAATACCTGAAAACTGCTATCATGTCCCCTCTCAGTCTTCTCTTTTCCAAACTAAACAAACCCAGTTCTTTCAGCCTTCCTTCATAGGTCATGTTCTCAAGACCTTTAATCATTCTTGTTGCTCTTCTCTGGACCCGCTCCAATTTCTCCACATCTTTTTTAAAATGCGGTGCCCAGAACTGGACACAATACTCCAGCTGAGGCCTAACCAGAGCAGAGTAGAGCGGAAGAATGACTTCTCGTGTCTTGCTCACAACACACCTGTTAATACATCCCAGAATCATGTTTGCTTTTTTTTGCAACAGCATCACACAGTTGACTCATATTTAGCTTGTGGTCCACTATAACCCCTAGATCCCTTTATGCCGTACTCCTTCCTAGACAGTCTCTTCCCATTCTCTATGTGTGAAACTGATTTTTTCTTCCTAAGTGGAGCACTTTGCATTTGTCTTTGTTAAACTTCATCCAGTTTAACTCAGACCATTTCTTCAATTTGTCCAGATCATTTTGAATTATGACCCTGTCCTCCAAAGCAGTTGCAATCCCTCCCAGTTTGGTATCATCCGCAAACTTAATAAGCGTACTTTCTATGCCAATATCTAAGTCATTGATGAAGATATTGAACAGCGCTGGTCCCAAAACAGACCCCTGCGGTACCTCACTTGTTATGCCTTTCCAGCAGGATTGGGAACCATTAATAACAACTCTGTGAGTACGGTTATCCAGCCAGTTATGCACCCACCTTATAGTAGCCCCATCTAAATTGTATTTGCCTAGTTTATCGATAAGAATATCATGCAAGACCGTATCAAATGCCTTACTAAAGTCTAGGTATACCACATCCACAGCTTCACCCTTATCCACAAGGCTCGTTATCCTATCAAAGAAAGCTATCAGATTGGTGTGACATGATTTGTTCTTCACAAATCCATGCTGGCTGTTCCCTATCACCTTACCACCTTCCAAGTGTTTGCAGATGATTTCCTTAATTACTTGCTCCATTATCTTCCCTGGCACAGAAGTTAAAGTAACTGGTCTGTAGTTTCCTGGGTTGTTTTTATTTCCCTTTTTATAGATGGGCACTATATTTGCCCTTTTCCAGTCTTCTGGAATCTCTCCCGTCTCCCATGATTTTCCAAAGATAATAGCTAGAGTTTCAGATACCTCCTCTATTAGCTCCTTGAGTATTCTAGGATTCATTCCATCAGGCCCAACATGCACAACTGGAAGCTGTTCTCACAGGTGAATCAAATTGGTGACTCTTCCCACACTCTAAAATGACATTTTCTTTATTTGGATATATGAATTCTGAATAATTGACTCTAATAATGCCATTCCATACTTGATTGTGCTCCATGGGTAAATAATTCTTACATGCCATGGTGTGGGAAACCTTAATAGGCACCAGGAGGAAATGTGTGTGTGGATACTGGTTTTCCGTCATTGTTCCTTAATTCAATGAAAGCCAAGCTAGTGAATCCATGCTGTAGGGAGTTCCCCATTCACCTGCTTGCTCAAAATCTCAAAGTGGAAAAAATCTGACCTTTTGCTAAGACATGTGTCAGGTAGAAACATCCCAACTAGAACACATCTCAGGGAAAATATTGATAGCAGCTCAATGGAAACACCGCCTCAGTCTCAATAGTGGCCAAACAAAGACAAAGATTGGATGCCTAAGGAATGGGATACAGAATAACATGCTGTGGACATGTGCTCAGTTTTGGTCACCCGGTCCCTATAAAAGATATAGTAGATAGAAAGGGGTTTCAAAGACAGGCTATGAGAATGGGGGAGGCTGCCAGATGTGGACAGAATGAAAAGAGTGGGACTGTTGAGTTTAGATAAAAGACAAAGAATGGGGCATATGATAGAGGAGAGCAAAATGAAGAATGAACTGATGACATTCAAATTGACAGACAAAGAACAGTTCCCAACCAGTAATAACTATAAGTATTTAGTGCTTCAAAAAGGCTAATTCTCAAAGCTGAGGCAAAGTAACAGCAAAACTGATTGGAAGGAAATATTTAGACAGTAAAACAGGGATGAATATTAAAGGTTCTTTAAGAAAAGATTATTAGATACAGAAAAAATCACAATTCCGCCATCAAGAAAGCAGAGAACGTAGGAGAAAAGCCCAGTTCAGTGAAAAGTGAAGGCAGCCACTAGCGGGAAAACAGAAATGTACAACAAATGGGAACACGGAAAAATATAAAATCAGCAATACAATTTAGAAGTTATGAAAATTGAAAAAGGACATTAAAGACATCAGGGAAAAATCCATGCTTGGCAGGGATAAGGATAACAAAAAGGTGGTTATTAAGAATATTAAGACCAAAAGAATTCCTAGAAAAGGTTTGTGCCCATTCCTGGATTGAGAAAAGAATCTTGTTAATATTACAGAAAAAGTGGATGCTTTCAAGAAATACTTTTGTTCTGCATTTGGAAAGAAGCAGTATATCATATGAGCTGATGAAAACCTTTCCAGTCCATTAGCTGTCAAGCAGGGGGTTAAACAGCATCTGCAGTAGAACCTTAGCGTTACAAACACAAGAGTTAGAAACTGATTGATCAACCATACATCTGATTCAGAATCGGATGTACGCAATCAGGCAGTTACTAAGTGACAGAGCAGTCACACATCTCATCTGGACAGAGAGGTACACAGTCAGGCAGCAGCAGAATAAAACAACAAAGCAAATTCCTAACAGTTCTGTGTTAAAATAAACTATTTTAAAAAAGGAAAAGTTAAATTCACATGGTTAGGAAACAGTGGAGAAGCCGGTATGTGATTCATTACAAAAAAGTCTAGGAATATAATTAATGTCAATCAACAACATGGGTTATGGTAAACAGGTCTTGTCAAACAAACCCGATTTCATTCTTTAATGGGAATATTTGTTTAGTTGATCAAGGCTATCTGAGGCATTTCATTTCATGGGGAAAATATTCAGATAAAAATGAACACTCTACAATATCAGTAAAGCATACTTTAAATGGACTAAAAACTAACTAACTGGCTGATCTCAGAAAGAAGGTGTCAACAGGCTATTGCCAGCGAATAGAGGTGTTCCAATTGGTGGTCTGCAGGGATTAGTTCTAGGGCTGAAGCTAATCAATATTTTCATCAACGATCTAAAAGCAAATAGAAAATTACTACAAGGCATTGGTGAAAAAACATTGTGCAAAAGTGGTCTGTGTAATCTAGCAGAGAAAGGCAGAGCAAGGTCTAATGGCTGGAATCTGAATGCAGAGAAATTCCAGTTGGAAGTGAGGGCCAAATGTTTAGCACTAAGAATGATTAACAATTGGAACAAACTGCAAAGGGAAGTGGTAAATTCTCCAACTACCCATGTCTCCAGAACCACTTAAACAGCTACAGCAGCCTTGCCATAACACTTCAGTGTAGACAGCACTTACACCGATGACAGGGGTTCTCCCATCAGTGTAGGTAATCTACCTCCCCTAGAGGTGGTAGCGAGATTGATGCTGTCTACTCCAGGGTTAGGAGGACATAGCTACATTTCTCAGGGGTGTGGATGTATCTGCTGTTGCAAAAAAAGGCAAATGCAATGTTTGTTGTATTAGCAGAGGCAGAGAGAGCAAGTCATGGGAGTGTGATAGTGCTGGTTAGGCCTCAGAAGGAATACTGTGTCCAATTTTGTTCACTGCTATATAGAAAGGTGTAGAGAAACTGGAGAGGATCAAGAGGAGAGTGACAAAGATGACCAAAAGGATGGAATGCAAGTCATACCAGCAAAGGCCAAAGGAACTGGTGATGTTTAGTTTGGAAAAAAGGAGATTAAGAGAGGACATGACAAGTGGCAATGGGTTCAAACTACAGCAGAGCAAATTTAGATTAACTCTCAGGTCAAAATTTCTAACTTTAAGCACAGTAGGTCAATGGAAGAGGTGCCTTGGAAAATAATGAAAGCTCTTTCATCTGTTTAGGATGCTCTAGACACAAAAATCCTGCATCTTGGCAGGGAATTAGACTAGCTGACCCTTGAGATCCGTTCTCATCCTGTGGTGCTATGATTCTGTGATGTAAAATCCTAGTTTAGACCAGGCCTTAGTCAAACACAAGTCAAGGGGTTTAATACAAGGGTAAGATGGTGAAATTAAAAGGCCTGTGTTATAAAGGAGGTCAGACTGGATGATCTAATTGTCCCTTTTGACTTTAAACCCTATGAATCTATTAATAAAGAATGTAGATCAGGCATTTATATTTACTCTTTCTCACAACACATTAATAAGGGAACATAAGAACATAAAAATGGCCACACTGGGTCAGACCAAAGGTCCATCTAGCCCTGTATCCTGCCTTCTGACAGTGGCCAGTGCCAGGTGCCCCAGAAGGAATGAACAGAACAAGCAATCATCAAGTGATCCATCCCCTGTGGCCCATTCCCAGCCTCTGTCAAACAGAGGCTAGGGACACCATCCTTGCCCATCAAGGCTAATAGCCATTGATGGATCTATCCTCCATGAATTTATCTAGTTTTTTTTTCAACCCTCTTATGGTCTTGGCCTTCAAAACATCCTCTGGCAAGGAGTTTCACAGGTTGACTGTGTGTTGTGTGAAGAAATAATTTATTTTATTTGTTTTAAACCTGCTGCTTATTAATTTCATTTGGTGACCCCTAGTTCTTGTGTTATGAGAAGGAGTAAACACCACTTCCTTATCTACTTTCTCTACACCAGTCATCATTTTATGGACCTCAATCATATCCCCCCTTAGCCGTCTATTTTCTAAGCTGAAAGGTCCCAGTTTTACTAATCTCTCCTCATACAGAAGCCGTTCCATATCCCTCATC